CACCGCTGGAAGACTAACTTTAGAGTATTTTCCAACAACTCTGTACATGTGTGTTTTCATTGTTTGCTGGTTGTTTTTTTTTCATGTTTGCACACTTCATGGTCAAGACTGCATATGCTTCTAGGAAGCAGGAGGCAGTCAAGCAGGTGTGTAAACATATGGTCTTTGGAAATAGAAACTGGGTGTGTGACACAGCTCTGCCACTTACTAGCTATGTGGCCTTCAAGACATTATACCACCCTCATTTTCTTGGCCTGCAAAAAGGGAGTAGTAGGCCGGGCACGGTGGCTCAGTCTGTTATCCCAGCACTTTGGGAGGCCAAGGCGGGAGGATTACCTGAGCCCAGGGGTTCGAGACCAGCCTGGGCAATTTGGTGAGACCTCATCTCTATGACAAATCACAAAAACTAGCCAAGCGTGGTGGCATGTGTCTGTAGTTCCAGCTACTTGGAAGACTGAGGCGGAAGGATTGCCTAAGCCCAGCAGGTCGAGGCTGCGGTGGCCGTGAGCATGTTGCTGCACTCCAGCCTGGGCAATAAGAGTGAGACTCCAACTCAAAAATAAATAAATAAATAAAAGGGGGTAGTAGTCTCGACCTTCTGGGTCTGTGACATTGTCATGAGGGTTAAATAGCCCCAAACAGGTATAAAGTGCTTAGCCTAGTGACTGGTAGGAAGCACAGGGTAACAATTAGCTCTTGCTAAGTAAACAGCAATCATAAAGACAAGCTTACAGATACAGAATTTGCACAGTACCTGCCCCAGCTAACTTCATATATGCAATTCTTCATCAGTATGAACAGAAAGCAGATGCTGTACATTACTCAAGGCCTTTTAAGATTGGACACTTGGGTCCACCCCCCCCCCCCACGGTCTGGTGGTGGGTTGGGTTAGAAGATGTTGGGCTCCCTGCCCCCATATACACCCACTAAAACTTCCACTAGCACTTCAGTGAGGTCTGCTGTGGACAACCAGGTGACTCAGAGGCTTACGGACCTTTTGGGAGGGGCTCTGCTCCCTGGAATCCAGAGCTCAGTCACTCCTCCTCTCCCTTCAGTTCTGAACTGCTGCCACCGACAGATTGCAAAATAGATTCCCATCCCAGTTGCAAAATAGATTCCCATCCCAGGCCCCACTGTGTGGGCCGCTCCCACCCTCCTCTGCCCCAGGCAGCTGCTCACCCTGCCCTGTGCTGCCCCTGGTGCTAAACCAGATCAGCAGCCTGCTCCAAGTCTGCCCTGACCTCATCAGTCTTCTGTTGCAAGTCTGTGACAGGTCTCGGGACAGTTTCCTCCTCCAAATATTCTGTATACCCAGAAGTTCCCACTTTCTGGGAGCAAAATAGTGCTATTATAGTGCTAAAAAAAATTTGTTAGCTGGGCTCGGTGGCGCAGCCTGTAATCCCACGCCTTTGAGAGGCTGAGGTGAGTGGATTGCCTGAGGCCGTGGGTTCGAGACCCGCCTGGGGAGCGAGACCTCATCTTTACAATAAATCAAAAAATCAGCTGTGCGTAGTAGCGCATGCCTGTAATTCTGGCTATTTGGAAGGCTGAGGTGGAAGGATCACCGGAGCACAGCAGGTCGAGGCTGTGGTGGCTGGGAGCGGCCACTGCACTCCAGTCTGGGCGACAGAATGAGACTCCAACTCAAAAAAAAAAAATTTGTTTAACCCCATACTCTGTGTTTCCTTTTGATATATGTAATAATCTCTTGGATGTTTGTTGTCTAACAAAAGCCACTTTTTACAGCAAGATTTACTTCCCCCCCAGTTTTGTTTTCATACTGTTTTATGCCCAAATAAATTCTTATAGGTCCCAGTCTGAGAGTATCTCAAGCTGGAGTTTTATAGAAATATTCTACAGTTGTTATCCTGAATTGTTAATGAGGCTTTTTAAAAAAAATTTAAAAAGACTTACATGTTAGTAGATAAAATAATTAAACAATATATGAGGTTATAAAATGAAAAGAAAATGTTCTTTGGCATTACTCTCAACTGTTAATAATTTATTCTATGACTTTCTAGAAATGAATAGTCTAAACATATACATATGTAAACATATACAACATACATATGCATAAACATAATCATATACAAGCATACCTCTAATTCTTTCACTCAAGATACATACATTTATATATATGATAAACCATACATATGATATTATATATAAATGTTTATTGCATGGCAAGCACCATTCTAGTTGCTATTCATTTATTAAATCATATGGCCCACATGTCAACTCCATGAGTTAGTACTATTATTTTTCTCACTTGTCAAATGAGGATACTAAGGTCCAATGACTTGCCAAGGTCATGGCTGCTAAGTGGTGCTGCTGGGATTTGAACCCAGGGAATCTGACTTGAGCACTAGCTTTCTTATCCACAGTGTCGCCGCTCTTCAATATACATTTTTGGCTTAATGTATGTATTATGGATATCCTTCCCTGTTGGCACATATATAAAGCATTTTAGTGGGAAAAAGTAAGAACTTAAGTAGCATTTAGTTGTAAATTTCATTCATTTCCTTTATAAGGAGTAAATTGCTCTTAGAATAGTCTATTCACATCAACTCATGCTGCCAAACTCAGTCTGGGCCTCAGCTCTGTTGAGGCTTTCCTGTCTGTTCCAGCCCCAACTTTCTGCCATCTGTGCTACATTATTCTGATGGCTACATAATATTCCACTAAATGGATATCCTGCAACTTTGTTTAATATATTTATAAACAGTTAGGTTCTTCCAATTGCAAGATCAGTCTTATACATCTTTGTGCAGGAGGAGTTGCTGAGTCAAAGAACAAGTAAAGTTTTCATATATGTTGTTTTTTTTTTTTTTTGAGTTGGAGTCTCACTCGGTCTCCCAGACTGGAGTGCAGTGTTCGCTCCCGGCCACCAAAGCCTCGACCCGCTGCTCCGGCGATTCTTCCACCTCAGCCTGTTTTCTTGCTCCCAGAAGGCTGCATAAATTTACACTTTCAATCACTGTGTATAAGAAACTACTTCTTCATATCCTACAAACACAGAGTATTAACAAGCCTCTTCATGTTTGTCCACCAGAGTAATTTATTTTCCCATAAAGTATCTGTCCATGTGTGATGCTTTTTTTTTTTTTCCTACTTATATCAGATTTTTTCAGCCTCCAACTAACTCCTGGGCTCAAGTGATTCTCCCACTTCAGCCTCCCAAGTACTGGGGACCACAGGCACAGCTACCATGCTTGGCTAGTTTTTGTAGAGACAGGGTCTCAATATCTTGTCCAGACTGGTCTCAAACTCCTGGCCTCAAGTGATCCTCCCTCCTTGGCCTTACCAAAGCACTGGGATTATAGGCACGAATCACCAGGCCTAGCCTGAAAATTTCTTAATGATGTGTAAGAACACTTTAGTCAATAAGAAAACTTACATTTTGTCAAAATGTGCCCCAGTTTTTGTTCTCGGTTTATCTAATATTTTATGATTTTGATGTACTTAATTTTAAAATGTGGTGTTTTCTAGTCTTTTATGTCTCCTAGGAGTCTTTATATGCATTACTTTACTTGCTTGTCACAAGGGCAGGGGAAGACATTTATTATTATCCTATTTTACCTTGGAACAAATTAAGACTCAAAAGAGGTTAAGCGACTTACCCCAAACTACACAAAGAATAATGAATGAAAGTGGGTCTAGAGGCCAGGTGCAGTGGCTCAAGCCTGTAATCCCAGCACTTTGGGAGGCTGAGGTGAAAGGATTGCCTGAGACCAGGGGTTCAAAGCAGCCTGGGCAACTTGGCGAGACCTCGTCTCTACAATAAATAAAAAATTAGCCGGGTGTGGTGGCATACACCTGTAGTTCCAACTACCTGGAAGGCTGAAGTGGAAGGATTGCCTGAGCTCAGCAGGTTGAGGCTGCGGTGGACATGAGCGCGCCACTGCACTCCAGCCTAGGCAACAGAGTGAGACTCCAACTCAAAAAAAAAAAAGAGGAGGAAACCGAGGCTGCCCCTGTGGTTCACACCAGTAAGACTCGACCCCACTCTCCTCCCGCAGCTCCAGGTCACGCAGATGCAGAGAACTCCTGGGTCTCTTAGCTGAAGGCCGGGCCTCTCTCAGATGTCAGCGCATTGCCCTGCCTCCTGGATGTCTCCACTCAGAGGCCGCCCAGGCTCCACCAACTACGTCCAGAACTGAACTTGCCTTCTTCCCCCTCAAGTCTATCTCTTCCCATCTCAAGTAAGCTGCCAGGTGGCCAAGCCAGAAGGTTGGAGTCATGACGCTTCCTGCTCCTTGAGCCTCCACAACTCAGTCGCAGAGAATTCCATATTCTATCTCTTAAACATTCTAAGATGGGTCCTCTTCTCTCCACCCCCACCCCACTGCCCCCCCACCATGGAATCCCTCTCACTTAGCTCCGGGGCGTTGGGGTGCGTTAAACTGTGCGGAGAGGAGGAGCCTGGGGGCTTCTGGTACTCAGGCTCCAGGGAACAAAGCCCAGGGAGACCCCTAACCCGTCCCCGTATCTCTACCACCATCGCAGCAGCCTCCGAGCGCACTTGCTCTCCCACTCCTGCAGCAGCTGCCCCAGAAGGTTATTTCTAATGCAAATTGCACCCTCATCCCGCTGGTTGAAAGCCTCTGTGCACTCAGGACAAAAGTCCACGCTTCGTAAAGCTACGACGCCGTCCGTGACCTGGCCCGGCCCCCTTGATCTCCATCGCTGGCCGCCTCAGAGTCCCAGCGCTCCGGAACCCCGCCCAGAGCGGGACAAGGGCTGGGCGGTTACTGCAAGACCTTGCCGGGTGAGCCTGGGGCGCCGGGGACCCGCCCAGGCAATGACGCGACCGGGAGAGCCTGGCCGGGTCTTCTCCGGCCCTGCCAATCTCAGGGGTGGGCGTGCTCCGGCTGAGGGCCTGGACCAATTAGAGAGAGGAGAGGCTGGTCCGGGGGCGGGGCTTCGAGCTCCGCCCTCAAGCTCAAGCTTTCAAGGACCCCTGAATCCAGCTCCACTGCCGACACTGCACACGGCACCTGGACCCCGCGGTCGCGCGCAGCTCCCGGCGCGATGGACTCGGCGCTGGCTGCTCAGATAAGCGAGGCTGTGGCCGAGAAGGTCCTCCAATACCGACGGGACACGTCAGGCTGGAAGATTTGCCGGGAAGGCGTGAGTGAGGAGCTGGGCGGGAAGAGGTCGTGGAGGCTTTGCTCCCTGGGGCCCGGGCCCCAGCAGCCCCAAGGCTCCTATTTTCTGTGCTGGGTTCCGCACCCCAGTCCCCCGGAGCTGACTGAGAGGGATCCCATTGGGGGTTGTTTTGTTTAAAAAAAAAAAATTATACATGTATATGTATGTATGTATGTATGTATGTATATCGGGCCTGTTGTGCTCACAGTGACTCCAGGAGGATAAGTATCTGCTCCTTCCGTTGAGTGACTTGCCCAAGGTCACCCGGCTGCTGAATGGTGGTTAGGATTGGAACCCAACACACTAGGTTCCAAAGCCATTACTTTGTTCATTATAGCGTGAGCCCCTCTTGGCCGTGCCCAGAGGGGGGTGGCATGGGAGTAGTTTTGCTTACTTGACACTTTTGATTTTTAACAAGTAGCCCTAGGTTTCTCAAGAAAATAAAATGCTTGGTGGTTTTAAGATAATTTGAACCCTACCTCCCCACCCCCTTCCCCTAACTCTTGGAGTCTGCCAGTTAAGATAAGATCCTTTTCTTCATCACATTCTGCTATGGGGCAGCTTCCTCCAGGACTAGTCCTAGCTCTGCCATAAATGGGTTGAACCACCCTGGAGAGTGGCATCTCTTCAGACCTCCAGCCCCTCTTCTATAGAACCAGGATTAGGCCAGTGATCAGAGCCCTTCTTGCTCTAAAATCCTGTGGTTCTGTGCCTTTTGACAGAATGGAGTTTCAGTTTCCTGGAGGCCATCTGTGGAGTTTCCAGGGAACCTGTAAGTGCATGCCTTGTTCAAAGCTTATCAGAGGTGCTGCACCCTTCCTGATGTTTCTGTGGGTTTGCTTCCTAAAAGATACCAATCAACCCTAGCACCCTGTGATCAACTCACCAATGATCTTCCAGAAAAGCGTCCACTTCTATTTTTAACTAAATCATTTCTAGTAAACTGTATTCTGCTGAAAGCTTACTGTTCATTTCTGCAGGCCTGAGGGGCGGTGGGCTTATAAATTTCAGCCCCTCCTCTGCAAGCGTGTCCTAAAAGAGTGATGACAAATATGGCATGGTCCACTCTGCAGTCCTTAGCTATAATGCCAAGATGCACATGCTTGATCAATGCCTTGGGGCCAAATTCCTTCTTGTGCTCCAGGTACCGAGGAGAAGGCATCATATATGGGACACCAGAAGAGGTGTGGGACTGTGTAAAGCCAGCTGCTGGGGGCCTGCGAGAGAAGTGGGATGAGAATGTGACCGGTTTTGAAATTATCCAGAGTATCACTGATGTAAGTTTTCCAATCATGTTATTCCTAGACAGTGTCTGGGCCCTGCTGCAGTAACCTGACCCCATTCCTGTGACACATTATGTTTAGCAAGACGGTGCACTGCTGACAGGCAACGTTGGAGCCTAAGCCTTGGCCCAGGTGCCATTAAGAAATAGCGTGACTTAACAGAGAGGCAGAGAAGTCTAAACAGAGCTAAGGGAATACAGCCTGTTGACAAAGTGCAGAGTGAACCTGGGCTCTGAGAATACCAAGGCGGTACCTGGATCTGGCCTGCAGCTCTAGTTTGAAATGTTGCTACCTCTGGGGCCATGATAATGAGTTGAGAGAGCCCTGGCTGAGGAGTCAGGATTCTCTGCCAGTTCTGAGGCTGTGCCAAGTGGCAGCTTCTGGATTACAGGCTCTTTATTGGTAAAATGTGTCATCCATACTAGCGCTCTCCGGTAGAACTTTCTGCGCTGATGGACACAATCTGTAACCACGTTGTCCAATATGGTAGCCACTGACCCCACATGGCCACAGAGCAGTTGGAGGTAGCTAGTTTAAGGAAATGGACTGTTCATTTTATTTAAGTTTAACTCATCTAAATGTAATTTTAAGATAACTATGTGGAGCTAGCGGCTACCGTTTTAGACAGTACGGATCTAGATAAGCCTGCCCTGGTGTCCTCTGTGGCTTTAAGATCCCACCTCATTGTGGTTACAAAGGTTCAGGGCAAAAAAGTTATAGCCAAACAAATAAAATAGTTGCCTTAAGGAAATATTGCTGACTTGTTTAATTTGAATGGCGTCTTGAGGGGGACTGGCACCCTCTTGACTATTGACAGAGATGGTGTTGTGAAACCCCAGGTGATAGTTCTCAATTGACAAATCCTGAATACTGAATCCAAGACTTGCTAAGAGCCAGGTGTGCTTAACTTTGACCACGAATTCACATTTCAGTTCATTATTAGGATGGGGTCACTATTTCCTGAAAGATGGGGCACAAATCCCTGGGGTACAAAAGGCGTTTTTAAGTCCTTAACCGTCAAAGCTGAAATTGAATCACACAGTGAGAGGTTACCCTGTTTCAGTTATTTAATCACTCTGATAACTTGAAGGGGAGAGTCTCAGTTGGGTGCTCATATGCCTTTGACACCCGTTAACACTCACTCGACTCCTTTATAACAAAGTAGACAGATGAGCTTAGGTGCAGAATCAGAATTAGAATCTAATGATCCCTTGTGTATGTATTTTTGCAGACTGCCTTTAATTTATGACCAGGGATTATTTTTTTCCATTTTCAGTAGTTAAATAGCTTCCTTTTAAAACCAACTTAGCACCGGGCATGGTGACTCACACCTATAATCCCAGCACTTTGAGAGGCTGAGGCTGGATATTGCTTGAGCCACGGAATTCAAGACCAGCCTGGACAACACAATGAGACTCTTTCTCTACAAAAAAAAAAAAAAAAAAAATTTTAAATGAGCACATTTAGAGAACAAATTAAGTGAACAGCAGGGTAGGTAATACCAGAGACAGAGGGAAAAAAAGAAAGAAGATAGATAGCAAATAATTATACACAAATGATTGAGGTTGAGAAGACTTGGGTTAATGCTCTTTAAAACATAATACAAATATAATAACAGGGCTATATATAGAGTTTTTTATTGAAGGTAAAAGTGGCTGTATCTTTTTAGCATGTTTGTATTTTTTGTCTTGATACAGCAACCTGGTGGGACAGGAGAGAGAAAGGCCTGGAAAATTGTAAATGACATCTGAGCTGCCGTAGTAATGACTACAGTGATTTATGGAGTCCTTTTATGCTGTGTTCCAAGCTCCAGGCACTGCAACTGAAATACCAGGGGAGGGAGAGTCTGACAGAGGTCAAGAGATATAGCCAAGTTCTCCAGGTGACAGGTGGCAGAGCAGAAGAGGAGAGCCAGCTGGGGACCCCAGAGCTCCAGGCTCCCAACCATAGGTGCCACCTCCCAGAGGAGCCAGAGAAACTCCTTCTAACTCCCTGCCTTCACCCCTGCACTAGTTCTGGGTCCCGGTGACCTGATCCCTCAAAGGCTCCACGAGTGATATGTTTTCTTTTTGCTTCATTGCAACCACCTCACTTTTTGCCCAGGTTGCCAAGACCACAGATAACTAGATGTTCATCAGTGCTGAATTCTACTTGAGTATGAGTTGGCTTTTTGGTCAGTTTGCCAATAGGGTTGAGTGGGTGATGCTGGCAGAGTCTCCCTCCTCTGGGCACCCTCATTTGTTTCTGGGGTGAGTATGCCTGCTCCCTGTGTGAGGCTGCTGCACTAGGCAACACAGCACCTTCAGTCTCTGGCACTTCCCTGAAGCATGGGCCAGTGTCAGCCCAAAGCAGTCCTAGGTACCTGTCTGACCCCAGTTAGTCCTCTGGCTTAAGGGTCTTCAAGCTTTTTGCTTACATACCTCCAACACATTTTTGAGAAATATACATCATCCCCACACTTCCAGTTGACATCTGACATTTGGTTGACAGTCAAATTTTCCTAAGTTGCAAAACATGTCATTTTTGACATCTAATAAATGTATTACTTTGAACAAAGCAATGACATCATTCTTTCAGATATACCTATATAATATATAAATTTTATTTATTGTCATCTATTTTAAAAATACATAAGGCCAGGCATGGTGGCTCACATCTGTAATCTCAAGGCTTTGGGAAGCCAAGGCAAGAGGATTGATTGAGCCTAGGATTTTGAGACCAACCTGGACAACATAGCAAGACCTTGTCTTTACAAAAAATATAAAAGTAGAAGGCTGAGGCAGAAGGTTCGCTTGAGCCTAGTGGATTGGTGCTGGGGTAACCGTGAGCATGCCACTGCACTCGAGCCTGGGCGATGGAGTGAGACTCCAACTCAAAAAAAAAAAAAAAAAAATATATATATATATATAGATATAGATATAGATATAGATATAGATATATAAAAGTTAGCCAGGTGTGGGAGTAATGGTCTAGCCACTGCATTCCAGCCTAGGTGACAGAGTGAGACTCCAACTCAAAAAGAAAATACTTGAGTAAATTTTTCTTAGTCAGAAATTGTATATAATTGTTTTCCTTGAACTCAAATTTCTATTCTACACAGCCCTCTGAATTTTATCCTAATGTAATGTACGTTTATTCTTGAAAGTCAGTATGAGTAAATTTTTTGTTTTTTTAAATATATAGTTATAGTCGTGCACAGTGGTTCACACCTGTAAATCTCAGCATTTTGGGAGGCCAAGGCAAGAGGATTGCCTGAGCCCAGGACTTTGAGACCCATCTGGGTAACTTGGCAAGACCTCATCTCTACAGTAGAAACAAAAAAATTAGCCAGGCGTGGTGGCACACTCCTGTGGTTCCAGCTACTTAGAAGGCTGAGGCGGAAGTGTCACCTGGGCCCAGCAGGTCAAGGCTGCGGTGGCCGTGAGTTTGTGACTGCACTCCAGCCTGGGCGACAGAGTGAGACTCGGACGCAATAAATAAGTAAATAAATAAATAGCTCTTATGACCATAAGTCTCTAATTATTTTTTAAGACTCTTGATGGAAGTATGATACTAATTTGTTAAAATAATATGATCATATTACATATTCTGGTGAAATACTATTAAACACAAAAGTAAAATATTTTGCATCTGGATGAAATGAATGGGAGCTCCTTTTTTTCTAATAAATTCCTATGCCCATGAAAAGATATGATTTCTTGCCAGAAAGATTCAACCCTCAGTAGACATTAACTGCAAAAAGTAGAGAAAGCATGAACTGCTGGTGGTCTCAGGTTTATAGAAAGGCAAAGACGAAGTTGACAAGTGGTAGCTCTTACTCATTTAGAAAAGCAATGAAAATTGGGGGACAGGGCCCTTCCTTGCAGATTTGTATTTCTCAGCATGATTGTGACAAATCTCAAATATTCTGATTCTAAAATAGATGGATGATAAACGGATGGGTAGAGTGGGTAGATGGATAGATAGAACACAGAGCCATGCCATGAGTTTGTTACATTTTTAAGACATGCAACTGCTGTCAGTATATCTTTCCACAGTCCTCTTCATTTGGTCTCCAGACACTGTCCCTCAAGAAAGATGTGTTGGGGGCAGTAATCAGGGTGGAAGCAGTATATATATATATATATATATATATATTT